CATTCCTTTGATTTTTATTTATTCAATTATTATATTTTTACTTGGAGATCATTCTTGTCACGCCGTACAAAAACCCAAAATCATTGCCACCGAAAAAACTCTCCAGCCAGAATAACTTATTGAAATTGCAGAACGCCTCAACTTAAAATGTCTGTGAACTAAGGGTTCAAGGATGAATCAATTTATTAGACAAAAGTTAACGAATCCTATTTAGGTATACTGCATTTTTGTATAAATTTTTTTCTCTGACCGTCAAAACAATCTTTACATAATCGAAGTTGATTCTTATGTTTTTTCAAGTCAATTTCATTAACATATTTAACAAGATGAACACATTAAACAGATGATTAATTAACTCAGCGTGAAACAAAAATACGATGTTGAATTTGTGGGAATGGTAAACAAACCTATTTGATTCTCACATAGTCGTGATGAAAGACAGTATAAATATGTTGTAAAATCGTCTACGATGGAAAATTTCAATCTGTTTCTGCGATACTTCATTTATTCATAAGTTTCGTTACCGTATTTTCCCTGTGAAGAAGATATAACTGGAAAATACTAAAGAAATCTTGCAACATCCGCCGAGATAGTCAACATAATTTATTTGTCTTCGGTCACTAAAATTTTCACCACTTACCAATTTTCAGTATTAACATTCTTCGTCCTTTTTGGTCGTAGTAAGGCGGAGAACTAATGGTGAGGGTTCTTGCGAGTTCCCTGATGTGATGAATATCATCGATCACGAAATACTCTGGAGCAGACTCTTTGAATTCGTAGTAATTGACGATCTAGAAATAAATTCGAGGGTTACAAAACATACACATTTTTCACGAGGAGGTGATGTGAATTGGCCCCCGAACACGTGCGATTTGACGCCTTTAGAATTTTTCGTATGTGTTTTTTTGAATCGCAGGTGCATGCAGTACGGATGAAAATTAAAAAATATTAACAAGAAATGAAAACTAANAAATTATTGCTTTCAATAAAACAAGTTGCTTTGTGTGCAGATTTTCGTACATTTTTAATCCACAAATAAGTTATATGTATATGTTGTCTGTATTTTCAATCACAATATTTCAAAAGTTTCCAAAGAAACTATACTATAATTTTAAAATACAAAATTTCCAGAAATGACTGACGTTTTGGCCTCAATCTGTCTCTTATACTAAACAGATAAGGAAAAATGGTAATAGAATATATAGAATCACAACCTTTACAACAATGTTTTCGTTTTAACACGATAATATTCCTTCGAACAGTTAGTTCTCAAAATGGCCGCTCGTGGTCCGGCAATAAGCAAAATTTTATGATAAAATGTCGAAACTAACATTCATTCAAGACAAGGTGTGGTGTGATTTATCGTATAACCAAAAAATTGTACCATTTTTTAGAGAAAAAATGAACGCAGACATGTATACATATAAATTTCTGAAGTGTTGTAAATCTGCCTCTCATGACGATCCACCAAACGGTAGAAATGAAAAAGGCCACCAATATCACCGGGCTTATCTCCAATGGACTTTTTTTGTGGAATTGTCTAAAACAGCCCATTTCCAAACAAATAAGGTTTAGAGAAAGCCATTAAGGAGTGTGGTGGTAATATAAATTTCTTATTTATTAAACATGCCACATCCCGAATCCCGAATGATGAATTCGAGTTCGTTATAGGGCTATTGAGATAAATTAATGAATGAATTTTTTTTCACACATCTAATGATAGAAACGAATATTATGAGGTCCATGAAATCATTTCAACAAACGTTGCAAAAAATTGTCATTTGCTTAGAAACTAGGTAGGTACTTCAAAGTATTTCAGACTCACTGCAGCTAAATTTTTGGTGAAAAAATTATCAAATATGAATGTTATAAGAATGGAAAGAAATACTTTTATTTGATTACTGACATATTAAAGTCCATACACCGAATCTGTTTCATAATGAAATAAAAAACTAGGTAAATTTTGCAACAACAAAGACGAATTTCTGGAGGGTTTTTGTTTCTGTTAACGAACCAATGTGGGTATTTTTTGGGCAAGATATGACATCAAAATCTCGTATTTATAAAAGTTATGAGAATTGAAACATGTTTCGTTCGAAAAGGTAGAGCGGAAGATTAGAAAAATACAAAAATTTGAAAAAATGTCGACTAGTTGACAGATGATGAAGCTGTTGAATCCCTGGCAAAAACTTTTAGACATCTGGCTAAATCTACCAAGGTTGGTTTATTCCGAAGTATTTATTCATATTTCGAAAAATCTTATCAAAAAATTGTTACACCAGGAATGATCCAAATTGTATGAGAATTTTATCTTTTAAAAACGAACGGTTTTAGCCTTCTACATTTGTTTCTTTATACATTTTTTGTATAGAGATGGAAAAGTAAAAAGCCAGAACATTTCGTATCTACCCAAGAAAGCAATTTCTCCTGAAAATATAACCCAAAACCACCCGAGTTTGGCAAAGGTTCATTACAGACACCTGGTCTGATGTATCACTCGCCATATAATCAAGAAGCTCCACTAAAAAACCCTGACGGATTGTAGTGAAAGATCAAACAAATCCAGTCCCTTTGAACCTAACCTAACCTAACTTAACTTAAAGTAGCTTAACTTATGTGGGACATACTTATTCCTCTATAATGAAGAAATAGAAAGGGTCAATTGAAGAGCAGAACATTACAAATTCTTACCGAAAATCATGTCTCTGAATTCGGAGACCAGTAAATCTTTCTTGTCGGGATCTTCTGCAATGTTCTCCGCTGCCCATTCCAGGAGTTCTTTGGAAGGCTCGCCGTCGTTGAGTTTCAGTTGGAGACTTTCGTTCGACGATGATTCGTTCATGCTGGAAATAAAACGTACGAAGTGCGGATTTAATTGTTCATATACGCATCTCTGGTGCATAATTATACGTATTTATTTTATAAATTGAGCGTGGAATTTTGCATAATGACATATGTTGGGAATCTCGTTTGCTTTTTTAAGGCGGTACTTCGTGATGCTCATTAAACCATAATATATCTGTCATACAGGGCGTTCAGTTTCTTGATCTGAAGATGTTGCCTTCTGGATGGTCATTCATTTTAGAGCGCCTCAAGAATATCCTGTAGTTCTTGTGTGTTGTCCTTGAAAACATGGCAGAAATTCTGAGTTTTTGTAGACTTCTTCTTCCCAATTTACTACTGGAGGTTTTGTGGTTTTTAAAAGAAACAATATAAGGTTACGTTTATATTGTATCGAGTCCTGCGTTACACATCGATGAGCAGGCTCTCTT